TAGGACCCTCTTGGTCGTCATCCCACCGCCTTAAATAGCTAAATACCCCTTCAGGGTTTCTCGGATTTTGTTAGATTAAAATTTTAGCCATTGCTACTTTACCTTGTAGTTACATGTGTTAGCTAGACCACCTAAGTACACGTCTTTGGAACCCTACCTTATCGTGAGCTTTAATTCCTATTTGCAATTCAGATTGTTTTTTTCTTATTCTTGCTTTTTTCTTCGATCTGCACCGGCAAGATCAACAACCATAGAGAAGTGTATCAATCGCTAAGGCGCAACACAATAACATCTTGTACGGTTGTAGTAGGATCGTTAACGTTTTTCACAAATCATCGTTATCTTTCAACTCACTGAAAGATCAGGCCAATCAAAGTCATGAGTGTATCAAGTGGAGCTCAGGGTTTATCACGAGCTATCCCTTAATATTTTCTACACTACTGTTTGGTGAGTATTGCAATGCAGTATTTCACATTTAAACTGATATCGCAATAATTAACCATCTCAAGTGCTATAATTTTTGAACTTTTTCCCCTACAGGCAAGTATTTCCTAGTGAACTCGGGTTATCTGTGTAGGTATGGATTCCTACGTTCGTACACACATGTCTACTACCACATGGATGATTTCGATGGTGACGAAGCTCCACAGACGGTTGGGAAGGAAAAGACTTTCAACTACATGCATTCTGCTATGCGTAATAATATTGTTGAAAGTGCTTTTGGAGTTATGAAAAATCAATGGAAAATCCTAAGGGGACTCCCATTATTTCCTGAGTGGGAGGATCAGACGAAGATTATACTTGTCGCATTTACTCCGCACAACTTCAGACTTGATAGTGATAACCCGCACTTCTAGATGCAGAATTCGTTATACAACGGGTTCCAGAACATACCACAGGCTCCACCCTTATCTCAGTGGTACGATTCACCGAACAACGCGGAAGCAATGAATGTGGTGCGTGAATCTATTTCAAATCAGGTGTATAATGGGTAGGGATGTTTGTTTCCATCGAGTAGTACTGCTGTGTGCCTCTTCAATATAGTTATAGTTGTGTCAAAATTCATAAGTGTCATGGGTATGTATCCTCAATGTATATATTTGTGTGTGATGTTGAGAAAATCTATTCCCTTGTTTGCATAATTAATGCACGTATTAATTAAATTATGTTTGTCACATATACACTGGTGGAGAAAGGGTCTTTAACCCTGGTTCGTAACCCCCTATAGTCCCGATTATGTAACCGGGAGTACGAATACGTGACTAAAGATGGGTATCTTTAGTCCCGGGTGAAATAACTGGGACTAAACATCCATCTTTAGTCCCGATTGGTACCGGGAGATGGATAGGGCCACGTCCGGGTTGGTATTTTTTTTTCTTTTTTATTGTTTTCTTTTTTGTTGCTTGTATCTATTCCCCCACCCAAATTCCCACAAATCATGCACAACAAAATCATCCAATACATACACATCCACAATCCACAAATCAATCATAAAATCATCCCCAAATCAAAAAAAAGAATCTCCAACAAAATATACAAATCATTCACTACAAAAAATTCACAAAATAAAAAAAATCCACAGCCATCGCCGGCCGCCGCACCGTCGTGCACCGCCTCCCGCCGCCCCCCCCCCCCCCCCCCCCCCGCGCGGGCCAACGCCGCCATCGTCGGAGGGGGATCACTACAACATGATTGATTTTTCTAGACGCCATCCCATTTTGTTTCTATGCAGTCCGTAAGTTGGACCGCACAGAAAAATAGAGGGACCGGAGCCGGGTCGTCGACCCCACAGGAAAATCAATTTTTGTGTGTGGGTCACTTAATAGGCCCACACGTGAAAATAAGCTTATTTTCACGTACGGGCCTCCTAATCTACCCGCACACAAAAATAGTCTTCCCTCCCATCCAATTTAAAATTTTTTAAATTTTTCTCTCCCCTGGTCCCTTCTCTCCTTTCTCTCCCCCTTATCTTCTCCTCACTTTCCTCTCCTCTCACTTTCCTCTCTCTCTGACCTTCTCCTTCTCCTCCTCCGGTCGGCTCTCGGCGGTGGGCTCGCGACGGCGGCGGGGCTTGGAGACTGGACGGGAGCGGTGTGCGCGCGCCGCCGCCCCCGCCCGACCTTCTCCCCCTCCTCCCGATGCTCGCGGGCGGCGGACAGATGGGGGCCACTGCCGCCGACGACGACAAGGAGGCAGTGGCTGGGAGCGGCGGCGGCTCGATGTTCTCCCCCTCCTCCCGACACTCGCGCGAGGCAGCTGGGAGCAGCGACGCCCTCCCCACACCCGGATCCAGCGGCGGCGGCTGCCCCCCGCCCAGATCCGGCGATGATGGCGGCCGGCGCGGTGGTGGTGACAGGGTGCCCGGATCTAGGGTTAGGGTTTCTATTTTTTGAAAAAATTTTCCCAGATTTTTATTTTCTCGTGCGGCGGCATAACCACCCACATGCGAAAATCCGATTTTCGTGTGCGGATGCGCCACCCGCACGAGAAAATCACAATTTTCCCAGACGCCTCGTTCCATACAGGCGAAAAAACCACACGCAAAAATAGCTATTGTAGTAGTGATGAGGAGGAGTGGGGAGGACTTAGGATTGAGAAAACTGAGGGGAGGAGGCCGGTTGAGAACAGGATTAGGCTCGCTAGGGGAGTAGACTTGAGTCGCGCGGTTGCCAAGGAAGCTGCCTTTTTTTCCTCAGTTTTGATCCCGGTTTATATAAACACCCAGGGGACTTAAAAATAGATCTTTAGTCCCAGTTGTTGTTACCAACAAAGAGTCCCTAAAGAAGATAGTAGAGGGGTCTAACACCGGCTGCCATTTATTGAACCGGGACTAATAATGATCTTTACACTACAACAAAAACCTCGTATAGAGGCACTTTTGTAGAGACGTTTTGCAAATTGCTTCTAAAATCAGAAGTTTTATAGTGTAGAGACACTTTATAAAGGCACTTTAAAAATTGCCTAGAAAACTTTTACTCTAGAGACATTTTTAGATCAGTTTGTTAGATTTTATCTCGTAGAGGCATTCTTTCGGCACTATAAAATGCGTCTAATATGTAAAGGCATTTCGTTGAGACATTTTAAACTATGTAGAGACACTTTCTAGAATGATAATATGTACTAAAGGACTAAATATAAGTAACTAGAGGAACAAGCATATAAGTAATGACATGGAGTTGAGTTGGTTAGTGTATTGAAGATTAAAATGATTTAATCAAGAGATCGTGAGTTCAAGACTTGTCGAAACCAAGGAAACTATTTTATTATCTTTTTTGGATTGGTTTTATATGTTTGCGGTACAATTTAATGTCTCTAGAAAATGCCTCTACCATCTTATAGACATTTTATAAAATATCTCTTCGTTTGTAGAGACAATTCACCATAAGACACTTATTAGACATTTTTTAAAATGCCTCTACATTGTTGTAAAGTCATTTGATAAGTGCCTCTACAGTACTAGAAAAATGTCTCTACAAAGCATTTTTGTTGTAGTGTTAGTTTCGGTTGGTAAAAAGTACCCCTGAGCTTTTGAACCGGGACTAAAAATAATTTTTAGTCACGGTTTTTTATCAACCAGAACTATTGTGCTTTTTGGTCAATAAAAAAAAGGTTTCTCCAGCAGTGATAATATCATGTATTATCTGCACTCCCTCCTTTCAATAGGTCTTCACGCGGAGCTGGAGCTGGTGCCTGCACTGACGTTACTCACCTCGATAAATGGTAATCAACTTTCCAATTTACTGAGAACAAACAACAGTGCAGCAGCTGTTCAGCGCTGCTCGTATCGGCACATTATAATGAAAGAAAACTAATCTAGATTAACGTCGACGGAGCGACGGATTCGTGTTGATTAGATCGCGCAAAACGGCGATAGGGAGAGTACATATATATGCGTTGGAGTTCTGGTAGCTGGATCCTAATTACACGAGATAATGACATCCTGGGCTAACTACCGGCTACCTTTAATCTCCAATGCATACGAATTACATAACAAAACCATGTATATACTCTAACACTCCCCCTCAATTGAAACTTCTTAAGTTGAGATTGTTTCTGAAATCTTCAAACTGTCTCACAGCCAAAGGCTTGGTGAACCCATCTACAACTTGATCCTTGGAAGAAATATATTCTATCTCAATTACTCTTTTCTCTGACAAAATGGTAGTCTACTTCTATATGATTAGTGCGTGCATGAAAAACTGGGTTAGCAGATAAATGTTTAGCTCTAATATTATCACACCAAATCTTAGCAGTTCTAGGCGTCTCAACACCTATTTCCTGTACCAATGTTTGTATCCACATAATTTCAGCTGTAGTATTAGCTAAAGCCTTATATTCTGCTTCAGTGCTAGATCTGGAGACTGTAGTCTGTTTTCTTGCACTCCATGACACCAAGTTTGACCCAAGATATATAGCAAAACCACCTATAGATCTCCTATCATCTACACAGCCTGCCCAGTCAACATCAGTAAACTCATTTACCAGCATAGAAGGAGATTTATGAATCTCTAAACCATGACCAACTGTATACTTAACATTACATATCTCAGAATTCTCTTGACCACTGTCCAATGTGTTAGAGTAGGAGCATGCAAAAATTGACGGACTTTATTTACTGAATAAGCAATATCAGGCCTAGTCAAAGTTAAATATTGCAAAGCTCCTACTACACTTCTATATTGTGTTGCATCATTTAGGCCAAGAAGTGTATCTTCGTGGGCTGAAAGTTTTTCTGAAACAAGTAATGGGGTACTTACAGGTTTACAATCTTGTATCCCTACTCGTTTGAGCATGTCATTTGCATACTTTTCTTGTGTCAGAATTACTCCATGATCTGTCTTATCATATAAAATCCTATAAAGCTAACGTCGGTACTGTACACTGTAGATCCGGCCGCGCGGCCACGTCGCCCCGAAATCAGCCGCGTCCGATCTCCTGTCCAGCCATGTGTTTGCATCGTATCGGGCCAGGTCAATTGAGCCCACCACCCAGGCTCACGACAGGCAGAAGAGAAAAAAAGGGGCACCCGTGAACCAGCCGATTCCCCATTCTCTCCACCGCGTCGTCGCCTCCGACGGCGCCGCCGTTCCCCTTTCATCTCGACCTCGGGCAAGTAGCTGGCATCGCTCGCCGTCGTCGCTTCCAGGCGAGGCCATCGGCGGCCGCCGTCGCTTCTTCCTAGAGACCGCCGCCGTCTCCCCACACCCGCGCGGCACCCCGTCTTGCCCTCTCCCTCTAGGGTTTTCTTGGGCGTCGAATCGCTGTAAGCCCCTCGATAACTTCTCTGGTTGTTTTGCTTGGAGCTCCAGCTCAGGGAGCACGGCTTTGATTTGGGGATCGTGCCTCTCCTGCCTCTCTGGTGTGGAGCTATCGGTGTCGCGTTGTTTTCTCTTAAGCTAGGGTTAGTGCTTGGTACTGTAGGTGGGAAAGCAATTTCTTTTTTGGAGGGATGAACTCCTGGCTTCTTCTCTAGATGGTAGCTTTGATTGGCTGTGCCATGGAATTGCCTGCAATGCTTGATAGTTTTGGTATCCCCTGTGTACAAAAATTATGCGTAATAAAATAGTTTGGAAATTTATTCACTGAACCGTTCGCTGAGTTATTTTTGGCCTGCTGCCGTATTTGATAGGTAGATGCAATATTTAGCATGATCTACTGGCTTTGTCCTGGTTGTAATCACTCACTTAATTGCTTTGCAAGTTCTGTTATAGGATGGAATCTGTTGCTTTTTGTGCTTTAGTTGATTGGTCTTAGTAAAGCTTATTTCCATTCTTAATAGTTGAAGCTATATATTCCATTGTATGCATGGGATGGTGCAGCTTGCAGTTAATAATGCCCGATGCGGTGTTGTGTGATTCCAGAAATACCAAATGTCTAAGCTTTATCTACACATGTAGTGATATTTTTTGTGTTTTATATACAGAAAAGCTTCAATTAAAGATGGCTTATATGTAACAACATGAGCAGTTTGCCAGCATCAGATCGGCTTTGCATCCTTTCTTCTTGAGTTCCGGCGTCACATCGTGTTTGCATTCTTAAACATTTCATCTCGATTATTTGTTTTTCTTCACCCATTATATTTGCTCATAGTTTATCGCTTTCCTTTCATTTCTTTTTCACCGACCAGAACAGATCGGGCCTCTTTTCACTAAATTGGGGAAAAATCAACAGAGTGTTGTTCTTGGCTTCTTGAAAATGCTATCGGCTCCACCTAGAGTGCACACCCGCTTCTTGAAAAATCAACAGAGTGTTGCTTACTTACTCCATATATATAGACCATTGCGCATATTTGCCTTTCCTGGCAATCTTTTCCTGCTCTTTCTCTCTCTCTCTACTTTGGTCACGGCAAGCTATTGTTAAGAATGCCTTCAGATACTATTAGGTTCAACCAGGGGAGATACTATTGTCTAATTTATATATAGGCCAGTCATGGTCTATAATTTTTATGTCAACCTCCTGTGTTGTTTTGTATCAAATTTGCTTATCGATGATTTATCGTTACCATATATCATTGCCTATTGTTGCGTTGATTAATATGTACCTCTTGATGGTAGATCGTGCTTGCTCCTATTATTACCATGGGTGATTCTTTTCTCAGCTTATATGTATATGTTTTTGTATTCTCGTGTAATATTCTAGCTCTTAAAGTAGCTTTGTATAGAGGGTTACATATGTTGAGTTATCTTCTCATTATTTATATTTCCTTTTATCAGTTCGTTGGTTCTCATTACTACCCAGTTTGTTACCTTACACAGTGTTATACCCCATGCCAACATGCAATAGATTCTTTGTTAGTTCCCACTTAATTTCAGCTCTAAAACTTTCAGATTATGTCTATGCCTGATGGAAAATCTCTGGTTTGTGCACGCCTTAAGCGTAAGCGACCAATATTAGAGATTAATGATGGTGAGCTACATGAATCGCTATCAAACGATGCCGATGACTTCCCCACAGCCTTCAATTTCAGATCTAACCGGCCTGTTCGACGCCGTTTGTGTACTCAACTTGCTGGTATATATGGCCACCATGGTGCTTAATCTTTTAAAACACCTCTGTGTGCTTGCTGCTCATTCTTATATCTTAATAAAAATATTACATTCACAAATAATGTTCTCCATCTGCCTTCACAGTGCACCCATGCAATGTAGCTAATGCTATTCTCTTACTTATAGAGACTAATGATGGTGAGTTACATGGATCACCATCAAGCCACGCGAATGACTTCCCCACAGCCTTCAATTTCAGATCTAACCGGCCTGTTCGACGCCGTTCGTATACTCAACTTACAGGCATGGCCACCATTGTGCTCAATTTTTTTTTAAAAAATTCTTATATTACATTCACAAATAATGTGCTCCATTTGCCTCCACAATGCGTCCATGCAATGTGCCTAATGCTATTCTCTTACTTATTCCTCAGATTTTCCTCGCCCAGATTCCGCCATGGCTGCTCAATCACGTAAAAAACGTAAAGCATATATGTCAGAGCGTTCTAGGGTATTGCGACAACGGTTGGCACATTCATCATCTTCCATATATGATAAAGGTGTCTGTACTGTGTCTCAAATTTACAGTTCCTTTTCTTTTGCATATTATGTGCCTAATATCCTAATATTGCCTTCCGCAGATGCATCGTCTTCTCATACCACTATCCCTACAAATGGTCATTCCCGTAAGTCCATCGCTAACATATATTTTCCCTGTTTGTTCTAAGCCATATGTATTCGAACACATTTTGTTTCTTGCAATTGAGAAGGCATACACGATACATACTAATTTGTGTTGATTCTCGCAGACGATTCGTATGTGATGCTCAATCATGATGTTATCTCGACTGTTCGATCATGACTGCTCATCAAACTGCTCGATTGTAAATGTTCAATCTCGATGCTGGTCTCGATGTATACACTCTTGCCTCAATAGATTTGTACATTTTACACTAGAATGAGAACTCGAGCTCACATTTCCCCCTTTTTATTGTCAGGCTCTGTTTTCTCACCATTAAACCTTGGTCCACCAAGTCACACATGTTGTTATTGTGGCGCATTATTTTGGTATGAGGAGCGCATCGACCGACGGCGTCACACAACAAGACCGTTATACAACAAGTGCTGCAAAGGAGGAAGTGTTATCTTGCCTTCCTACAAGCCACCTCCAGAGCCTTTGCATAGTCTGCTAACTGCGGTGGATAGAGCTAAATCAGCTCATTTCTGTGAGAATATAAGGTACTACAACTCTATGTTTGCTTTTACATCAATGGGGGTGAATGTGATTGATTCTATCAATGATGGTCGTGGTCCATATACATTCAAGAGAAGTGGCCAGCTCTGCCATCGTATTGGGTCGCTCCTACCAAAAAGGGATAAACGACCAGAATATGCTCAGCTGTACATATTTGACACTCAAAATGAGCTTATGAATAGATTGCGTGTTGGCACCTATAAAAATAGAGCCTTCCAACCTAACGAAGAAATTGTAGCTGCTCTCATGCAAATGTTTGATGCCCATAACCCAATTGTCAAGTTATTTAGGGTTGCCCGTGATAGGCTTTCTAGGGCAGGTGCACCCGATGACCACTATTTTATAAGATTGTTTGGATCTCCTGACAAGCATGGCGATATATTTAATGCTCCAGTAGCATCAGAGGTTGTTGGATTAGTTGTTGGTGACTTAGGTACAAGTGATATTGGACGTGACCTGATGGTAGAAGACAAGGCTGGCAATCTAAGGAAAGTTAAAGAAGATCACTGTAAATTTATGGCGATGCAGTACCCAATTTTATTTCCTTATGGAGAAGATGGGTATCATCAAAACATTGCATATAGACAGTGTCGAAGATCAGCAGGGATTAAACGGAAGCGTGTCACAGAGGTAGAATATTATGCCTATAGGCTTCATGATAGAGGTGATGATTTCAACACCCTAACGCGTTGCAAAAGAGGTACACAAGCCTATGTTATTGACGCATATTGTTGCATGGAAGAATCTCAGTTGAGTCACTTTAGGACTAAATCATTTCAACAGAAATATAGAACTGCTCCTCTCAAAGAAATTCATGATACAATACATAGAGGCATTATAGAAGGGTCTGAAGCAGGCCAAAGAATTATAAAACCTTCTTCCTATGTTGGAGGGCCACGCTATCTATACCAAAACTACCTTGATTGTGTTGCTCTTTGTCGAAAGTATGGTTGTCCTGATTTATTTATCACTTTCACATCGAACCCTTTATAGACAAAAATTACTTAGGCTTTGGCTCTAATTCCTGGGCAACATTCATCGAACAGCCTGATATTGTTGATCGTGTGTTTCATATGAAGCTGCATCTCTTCATCGATGATATCACAAAGAATGAATTTTTTGGTCCAATTACTGCAGGTTTGATACATTACTTTAATTCTAGACATACTCCTTTTATTTACCTTTCCATTTATTTTAAATATGTTTTTCACTTTATTTATTTATGATGTTTCGCAGTTGTATACATTATCGAATTTTAGAAACGTGGTCTTCCACATGTCCATATTATTTTATGGCTAAAAAAAACTGGTGCATTGACTGCTGATGAGGTTGATAAGTTCATATCAGCACAATTACCTGATCCTTCTGTCGATCCAATTGGTTTTGATGCTGTATCTGCATTTATGATTCATGGTCCTTGTGGTGAGGGACATCCATCATGTGCTTGCATGGTTAACGGCGAATGCTCTAAGAACTATCCAAAAGAATATTGTGAGAAGACAACAATCTTACAAAATGGACATGTTAGATATGCTCGACCAAAGAATAGAATATCTACCAAAAAGAATGGTGTTGCTGTTGATAATGCATTTGTTCTCCTGCATAATGTGGATTTATGTGTGAAGTACCAAGCACACATAAATGTAGAGAGAGTTAGCCGTGATGGGATGGAAAAATATTTATTCAAGTATTTTACCAAAGGTTTTGATTGTTCAAAGGTTGGTCTCCAACGTAAAAGAGCATCCGGTGAATCATCTACCTGTACCAAAGGTGTTAATGAGATCCAAGATTACCTAGAGTGCAGATGTATAGCTCCCAATGATGCAGCTTGGCGCTTGCTCCAGTTTGAAATTCACCACACTAACCCTTCTGTTGAGCGTCTTCCTGTCCATCTACCACTCGGAAACAGTGTAGTATACAATGAGGATGACAGCCTAGAACAAGTATTGCAGAACCCATGGAATCAAATTACAAAGCTCACTGCCTGGTTTGAAGCTAACAAGACCTATCCTGAGGCTGTGTGCTACACATATGCAGAGTTCCCAGAGCACTTCACTTGGCATGCTGATGGAAAGTATTGGGATTATCGACGTGGTACTGGTAACGTCGGAAGACTAGCCAATGTAGGCCCTAACCAGGGGGATTCCTACTATCTTCGTATGTTGCTATAGTGAAGGTGGCAAGGTCGTACTCAGAGATCAGAACAATTGAAGGCCAACAGTATCCAACATTCCAGGCTGCTTGCCAGGCTCCTGGTCTCCTAGGTGATGATCGTGAGTGGTTGTCCGCTATAGTTGATGCAGCGCATTGGGCTCTTCCATACCAGCTCCGTGAGTTGTTTGTCACACTTCTCCTCTTTTGCAATGTTACAGATCCATTGGCTTTATTTGAAGAACATTTTTCTAGAATGGGTGAGGACTACATGCATCGCATTGGGCATAGTATGACATACCATTCTACACCTTTTACACAACATGTTAGATCATTTGTTCTTGCTGAAATTGACAAGTTGCTTAGAAATTCTGGATATAGCTTACCACACTTTAACTTGCCTGAGCCCATTCTTACCAGTGCATGTGCAGTTGGCAATAGACTTTTAACAGATGAACAAGCTTATGATATTGATAGGATATCAGTAGAAGCAGCTGAACAACTCAATCAATTGAATCTGAATCAAAAACATGTTTATGATGTTGTCCTTCAATCAGTCAACAATTGCATTGGTCACACATTCTTTGTGCATGGCTATGGTGGTACCGGGAAGACATTTCTTTGGAATGCTTTGCTTAATGCTGTTAGAGCTCAAGGAAAAATTGCTTTGGCTGTTGCATCATCTAGCATTGCTGCACTTCTTCTGCCAGGTGGTCGCACACCGCATTCCCGCTTCAAAATACCATTAGATATACAAGAACATTCACTCTATGCTATCAAAAAAAAAAAACTCATCTAGCCCAATTGATACAACAAACATCTTTAGTTATATGGGATGAGGCACCTGTCAATCATAGACATTGTTTTGAAGCTCTGGATAGAACACTAAGGGATATCCTATCCTCAAATGATCCATCCCTAGCTAAGAAGCAATTTGGAGGCCTCACAGTTGTTTTCGGAGGGGATTTTAGGCAAACACTTCCAGTACTGCCTCATGCATAGAAATATGAGATCTTAAGTGCATCTATTACCCGCTCTTATTTGTGGTCCCACTGCATTATTCTGCATCTAACTGAGAATATGAGGCTTCAATCACCGTTGTTGTCTGATACTCAGCGAGATCACCTTAAAGAATTCTCAAAATGGCTTCTTCATATTGGAGAAGGAACATTGCCTGATAACTCTCCTACTGATAGACATGATACATGTTACATCAAAATTCCAGGATACTTGCTTTTGCCACCTGAATCAAGAAATATTTCATCACTGGTATCTTTTGTGTACAATGAATCAAGCATTTCAGATATGGTTGCTTATTTCTGTGAGCGAGCAATCCTTGCCCCAACTAATGACATAGCTGCAGAAATCAACTCCCACATGATATCTCAGTTGCCAACAGAACAAATGTCATATTATAGCTCAGACATCATAGATGATAGCACAGCTAATCGTGCTACACTTGAGGCCTTTTATCCAGTGGAGTTCCTCAACACAATATAAATGAGCGGCTTGCCAGATCATTGCTTGCAATTAAAAGTAGGGTTCCTATAATGTTGCTCCGCAATTTGAACCCATCAAAGGGCCTTTGCAATGGAACAAGACTCATAGTAACTCAGCTAACTCACTGTATAATAGAAGGAGAAATAATCATAGGAAAAGCTAAAGGATGTAAGGCATATATACCAAGGATAGTAACTACATCTACCGACAAAAGGTGGCCCTTTAAGATTAAGCGTCGCCAATTTCCAGTTCGAGTTTCATATGCAATGACTATAAATAAGAGACAAGGGCAGACACTTAGTAGGGTTGGAGTTTATCTACCTAGCCCGGTTTTTTCACACGGTCAGCTCTATGTTGCTTTCTCACGAGTGACATCCCCAGATGGTTTGCGTGTTCTGATAGATAACAACCCTCCTGAACATGCAGAAAGCACTCAAAATGTTGTCTACAAAGAAATTTTCGATGGTTTTACATGTAAGCTGAGCTCATAAGTACTATGTTTATGTAGTCTAATATTTTTTCCCCTTATCAAAATTGAATAAACATATTGTTTTCTATTTTTTGCAGGCTTCTACTAACTGCAAGCATTTCCCTTTTGGTTTCATGTACAACTACTGCCCACTGTTTACTGAATGACTTTCTTCCTCAGTTAATGATGCTTTTATTGGTGGGCCAATCTTTTCATGTTTGAGATGTCTTTCCATCATCCTGCATATTATTTTTATTCGTTCCCTTTGTTGTACTATAGTTACATAATCATGTGAAAGTTAATATTGTCATATTTTGCAGATTCACTGCTTATTCAGACTCCATGCAGTCCAACCTATGAAATGTGCCTGATTTCCCTGTTTTGTGTACAACAATAGAAGTACACCCTTCTTTCCTCTTGACGTTGGGAAACAACAGCGTTTTGGCTCAATCATTCACTTTCCTTCTCTCTAGGTGAGTATTAAAGGTGCACATGAACTAGGTATATAATTATTGGTCTTTCTTCAACTGCCATCCATAGAAAAGTTCTATTAGTTTCTCTGTTATTTTTTATCCAGATATACCTAAAATTTGTATTTATCTCTATGGTGCTGAGAATTGATATGTATGATTTTGCATTCTTAGAGAACTAATCAATTAACAACGTCCGTTCTTTTCAATGTCCATAACCACAGTTACAAAAAAAAACCCGTCTATTTTCACTATATGTGATCGCACTGTACAAGGCCTACATTTGCCTATATGTTTTCTTCTTTCCTGATCATCCATGGTATTTTTTTTCATGCAACATTCATTATTATACATCAATTTGTAGATCTCCATTCTATCTAATTACCCTTCTTCAATGTTACTTACAAATGTGCTTTCCAGTCGGAATACCTTTTCCTTCCAATGTATATCATCGTAGCAATGTATCAGTATATTCCAGTTTAGTCATATAATTAAACATTACTGCTAATCCATATGAGTGGTTACCCTTGCCCTTATGTCTATATCCAACTTACCTTCATATCAGACCCAGCTAAATTATTTCTTTTCTCTTCACAGGGTGCATCTTGAACTACTAGAATATTTACCGTGTGATGTGCCTCATTTTGTGCGCGCACGTGTGGATCATAACATGATATTGCTATATATATGCATGACTGATACGTCTATGTGCTTTGCCCGTGTATACTTGGCTTCGATAGTTTCTCAGACCTATGAATATGTTCTTTAAATATTGTTATACCATTCTACAGTCAATCTGTTAATCAGTTCTTATATGTTATTCGAACCCCACCTCTACAATCGTATATTAGTAAATGTTTGTCCTCAATTGTTTTAATGAAATATGTATATCCATCTTATATGACAGTATGGAATAACTGCAAAATTATGGAATAGCCTGAGTTCCAATTACGCCCGCGGCAACGCCGCGGGGTCCCTACTAGTTTACCTCAATTCCTAGGAAGAACTGCAGTTCTCCCAAGTCTTTCAAGGCAAAATCTTTAGTAAGATCCTTTAGCAGTGTTGCAGTTGCACTGGGTACAGAACTTACAACAATTATATCATCAACATAAATCAACAGGAAGATAGAGACATTTCCTTTACTATAAAAGAATAGAGAGGTATCCGCCTTTGATGGTTTAAAACCAAGTTCCTGCAGTTTAGTACATAACCTTGAATACCAGGCCCTGGGCGCCTGTTTAAGCCCATATAGAGCTTTATCAAGTTTACATATATGATCTGGATATTTAGGATCTTCATATCCTGGTGGTTGCCTCATGTACACCTCTTCTTCAAGAATTCCATGAAGAAAAGCATTCTGCACATCTAACTATCGCAAACTCCAAGATACAGCAATAGATAAAATGGTTCTAATAGTAACTGCTTTAACAACAGGACTAAAAGTATCCTCATAATCAATGCCATACCTTTGTTTGAAGCCTTTAGCAACCAACCTGGCCTTGTACCTATCTAGGATACCATCAGCTTTTCTCTTCACCTTATACACCCATTTGCAGTCAATTATATTTGTTCCTTTCTAATAAGGGACTAGGTGCCATGTGTTATTTTTCATCAAGGCATGATACTCTGCATCTATAGTATCTTTCCAATTTTTATCAGTAAAAGCTTCATCTAAAGACTGAGGTCCTGTTCTTTTCTCTAACAAGAGTTGGATGAAGATTAAGATTTTCGTGTCACGCTTTTCAAACTGGAAAACGATGTGTTTCGTGCGAAAACTTTCTATATAAAAGTTACTCTAAAATATCATATTAATCTATTTTTCAAGTTTGTCATAATTAAAACTCAATCAATCATACGTTAATACCACCTTGTTTTGCGTAAAAAAAACTTAATCTTCATCTTTATCTTCATCTACAGAAGAAAAGAACACCACCTGAGACTCACCTAACGCAGAGAAACACCCCCACTTCACTGTGCCATCTGTGTAAATTTTCTCTTTTCTTATACCACTTTGAAGCCTTGTTTTTGGTCTGACCGGAGCATCTTGCTGCACAGATGATCCTGGAGGTGTCAGCTGGTACTGTTCAGGAGATCAATGGCGTCAGACTGCGTGTTGTCAGCATTGGTGCCGTGTAAATCATGCATGCCTGCCTCAATTTCTTCGTTGGCTCCACTGACAAACAGCTGCACATGATCTGCAACCTCTGTTGTGTCCACCGTCGCCTGTACTTGAGCTGGAGAACCTGCTCCCGAGATTGCCTTGCCTGCTGTGTCTGCACGGTCCGCGACCTTGGAGTGGATTCTTCATCAGAATTTCTCCGTGTACATCCTCCTGCGTCCCAGCACTACTATCTGCATCATCTTCTGCTACATTTTCTCCAGAAAAATCATCAGATGGCTCATTAGGCGCAGTATTAAGCATATGATCAATACCATGTTCTCCCCCTTGATCAGTACAGTGTGGGACAAGGGAGCTAGGCAACAAAGATATCTCAGCACGGAGACGAGCTCCAGCATTAGAGTGAAGTTGGGAGAAAGGAAAAACATTTTCATCAAAGATAACATCACGGAATATATATACTCTCCCGGTAGATATATCTAGACATTTGAAACCCTTGTGAAGGTGACTATATCTAAGGAAGGCACATTGCTTAGAGCAAAATTGTAGTTTATGATTGTTGTATGGTCGAAGGTTAGGCCAGCAAGCACACCCAAAAACTTGTAAAAATTGGTAATTGGGTTTTCGATGAAACAATTTTTCTAGAGGTGTCTCAAATTGGATCACTTTGCTAGGGGTTCTGTTTATGAGATAGGATGCAGTAAGGAAAGCTTCATCCCAAAATTTTAAAGGCATAGATGCTTGAGCAAGTAGAGCAAGCCCAACCTCAACAATATGGCGATGCTTGCGCTCTGCTGAACCATTCTGTTGGTGAGCATGAGGGCAAGATACATGATGGGTTATCCTAATTTTCTCAAAGAAAGAGTGGAGTTTTTCATATTCTCCTCCCCAGTCAGTTTGCATGGCAATAATTTTGTGACCAAGCAATCGTTCTACAAGAACTTGAAACTCATGGAACCTTTGAAAAACATCAGATTTATACTTAATAGGATAAACCCAAGTAAACTTGCTATAATCATCAATAAAACTCATATAATATTTCTTGCCCCCAACAGAATCAGGAGCAGGACCCCATACATCAGAATAAATAAGATCCAAAGGATTACTTGAAAAACTAGATGACTTGGAATAAGGTAGCTGATGGCTTTTAGCCTTCTGACATGGATCACAGACTGACTCATCTCTAGACTCAGAAAGACATGGTAACTTATTTTTACTAATTATTCTTGCGACAATAGAAGTGGAAGGATGGCCGAGGCGACTATGACATCTTGTGAAAGATGGTATGACACTGTAGGATTGCTTGGATGTGCTGGAAGGCAGTGGATAGAGACCCCTGTGACGCCTCCCCCTAAGAATTATTTTCTTCGTGGCCAGATCCTTAACCAAAAAATATTTAGAGTGAATCTCAAGGAATGCATAATTATCTTCAGCAAGGCGAGATGCAGAAATAAGATTTTTCGAGGCTTGTGGAACATGAAGGACATTTTTTAAATGAAGTGTACGATCAGGGGTATAAATCAAGGAATGACCTATATGCTCAATTTTCATACCTGCGCCATTTGCAGTGTGAATTTGATCGGTCCCCTTGTATTTCTCCCGGGTCGTCAGCTTGTCCAGCTCGCTTGTGAGATGATCTGTAGCCCCAGTATCGATATACCAGTTGGTATCAAGACCATAGGCGTATGCGGCAGCAGCTACATGTCTTTCGCCAGGCACGTAGTTGGCATCAAAGCGATGCCAACACTCAGCAACGACGTGGCCTCTCTTGTAGTAGACCTGGCACACAGGGCGCGTGTCAACACGCTGCTGGTTGCCACCCCATCCACCGCGGTTTCCTCCTGTGCTTCCACGGCCGCGACCACTGTCACCATGGCCACGTCCAGGATTCGTTCCGCCAGCAGCGCCAATGGCACCGCCACGAGGGATGAAGTTTCCACGGCCGCCATTGCCGCGATGTGCTGCATTTGCTGAGCCTTGTTTTCGCAGATGTAGCCTGTTCTCAAAGTTGAGCAATTGTGCATACAATTCTGTCATAGTGATGGGTTCAACCCTCATCCCAAGAGCAGATACAAACGAGTCATAGTCGCCATCTAGGCCGTTTACAATATATGCAATCGTATCTTCCTCATCTAGAGGTTTTCCAGTAGATGCAATCTCATCGCTATAGGCTTTCATCTTGCCAAAGTACTCAGAAATTGACATTGTACCTTTGCTTGTTGTTTGGAGGGCGAGACGCACGTTCAACGTGCGCGCGCGTGTTTGGGATCCAACCATGTCGCTGATTGCTCTCCATGCCTGCGCCGAAGATCTTGCTCCGGCCACTTGATTCAATATATCACGTGACAGAGGAGAGGAGGAAGCCGAGCACCTATTGATCGGCCGCGAACCACTCCTCAAAAGCTGGATTTTCCACCATTGTTGTCTTCTCCCCTTTCTCTCCCTCTTTCCGCTCGATCTGAGCAGCTAGCGCCTCCTTCTTCCCGGTGATGTAGCCCTCCAGTCGTGCGCCACGAACAGCCGCCAGGATTTGTGCTGTCCATGCCGCATGATTCTGCTTGGTGAGTTTTTCAGTGACGTGCACACCGAAGAGAGGATTGCCGGTGGAGGTGGTAGATGAGGAGGAAGCCATGACAATCTATGTCGAAGGCTCTGATACCATGAAAGAAAACTAATCTAGATTAACGTCGACGAAGCGACGGATTCGTGTTGATTAGATCGCGCAAAACGGCGATAGGGAGAGTACATATATATGCGATGGAGTTCTGGTAGCCGGATCCTAATTACACGAGATAATAACATCCTGGACTAACTACCGGCCACCTTAATCTCCAATGCATACGAATTACATAACAGAAACATGTATATACTCTAACATATAACGCTGCCTTAGGCCATCTACAATGCTCCACCCTGTCCTGTGGTCTCAAGCCTCCACGTCGGAGCCGAGTCGAGCTGGCAGTTGGTGGTGTGGTTCTGCAGGGCGTAGCTGTGCTTGTAGAGGAAACAATTTCGTCTCTGTTCTTCGGCTCGGGAGCCGCGAAGCCACAGCTTGGGGCCACACGCTGGGAGAGAACCGTAGCCTCGTGAAGCGCTTGGGGAAAAGAAGAGGTCAGGGAGAACTTGCCGTGGTGGTCTCCACCGCCACCGAGGGCACGTTGCCGCTCCACGTCACCGATGAGGTCGTGTCGCCACTCCCAAGTCGCTGTCGTTCACCGCCATCGCAGATTCAGCGAGGTCAGATCCGTCACCGTCATCCAAATCCGCTGCCGTCGCCCAAAGAGAAGGAAAGGGGGAGAGCATGCAACGGTGGATGGGGAGGAGTGGGAGAGGTGGCATTGGATGTGGAGGCCAGCTGGGGAAGAGAGCGGTGGGATTGTGAATTAAGGGAGGAGGGGAGAGGCGGCGCCAGATGTGGAGGCCGGCGGTGGAAGAGGGAGGCGCAGTGGTGGATGGGGGGAGGAGGAGAGGCCGCGCTGCGGTCGTGGACTCGCGGTGTCACGGAAGAGAAGTGGCGACGCTGGTTTTTTGGATAAGGAGAGAGAGTGGGGTAGGAAAAATTGAGAGGATGACAGTGGGATGTATAGTTTAGGGTATCTATCTATTTCTTTTTGCTGTTATAAGGTCTAAAATGTGTAATTTCTAATTGATTGAATAACTAGGAACTGACACATAAATAACGAGGGGTTGAAACAAAAACATACTCAATAGTGATCTCCATGGTAGATTGTATTGCTTTCATGTGGTCTTATCCTATTTGGGATGTTGAGACCACTGATACCCGTGGCCTCCATTGTACATGCCCTTATATAGGTGGTGTTTGACTTCGATAGCTAATCGGTAGTTGTGACCTTTGGGATTTAAATTTGTTGCGTGATTTGGTGTTGTGTTGTTATACTAGTTGATACCTTGTGCTTTGCTGCGGGATATGTGGAAAATACATGTTATACATTATACAAATGGTAGATGTGCATATTTAAATAATGTGAAAATGATGTGAAGATAATGATTTAATATTGCTTACATATTCAATTCTAAAAATACAACAAAATTTTAAACGATATATCATGTTTACATGATATTTAAAAAACTTTACATAATAGTAGATGATAATGTGGCATACTTACATATTAAGCTTTAAGAGTTAATGGGCATAACATAAGATATGTTGAAATCTGGCATGATGTTCCGGTGTCCCATGCCTTCTCGCATCGTGTGGAAACTGGATCGGTTTGGTGTTGCTCGTTGAGTCGTCTCGCAACATACGGACGAACGGAAGAATGAATTGCATCTCCAATATATAGGTTAATCATTTGCCCATACCTCATGCCCTGATGGTAGTACGGGGTTTCTTGGATGTGTTAGTAAGAATGGAGTCATACGTTAGAATCATACTTCCTCCGTTCCATAAAAAACTAACTTAGTATCAGATGTGACATATCCCAAAACTATAAATCTGGACATAAATTTATCTAAATTTATAGTATTATAAAGTCTCACATTCGTTTTTCATTGTGACGGTGGGAGTATATACACCACGGTTGCGGAAAAATATACAAACATGATGATTTGTTAAATTAAACAGAATTGCCATATATCATTTGACATAAATTTGGGAATGGAATCTTACATATTTTAGACCATTAAATCTGTGCCAAGATTCGTGCATCGACTTCTTCTCCTCCATCTCTGGCGGACTCCCCTTTTTCTCTGACACCGGTGACACCCCTAACTTCGGCAGGGAGCACGCGGGTTAGGGTTTAAGGTTAGGGGAGGAGGAAGATGGGGCTTTTCTGGGGCTTAGAGGGATATCCATGGGCGGTGGGTGGTTGATACGGGCAGGCGGCGCCGGCGTTGGCGGTAGGGGAAAACGGGCCGGGACCTTGGGGAAGAGAAGAGGGATGGGTAGAAGGCTGGCTGGGAGGTCCTCGCCGGCGCCGTTGACTCCTTCCGGCCACCCAACGAGGCCGGGCGACGGGTAGCAGCGCGAGAGGCGAAGGAGCATTCGTGTGAAAGCGGCGGCGGCGGCGGCGGCGGGTGGACTAAGAAGTTAAGAAGTAGACGAATAGTAGGTTTTAGTTACGTTGCACGAATCTCAAAGTGATCAAATGGTTCATAATTTGTAAGATTTTGGGAGGTGTTTTTCTATCAAGCCCTAAATTAAAATTCGAGAAATTCTAGCCATCCGATCAATCCCCAATTCCCCATTCCCCAACGCTCTCCTCTACCGAAGCGTCGCGCTGCACGCTAGAACAACGCTACAAGGTGTCGTTTGCGTGGACCCGACGCCGCCGGGTTCCGTACGCTCCGCGGCGGGTGGGCCCACTCCCTCGCGGGCGCGCCGCTGCCGGAGCCGACGTCCCCCTCCCNNCCCCNCCNCCCCCCGCGGTTACGCTACTCGCGGGCGCGCTCACCACCACCACCTTCGCCGCAGCGCTCGGTTCAACCTTACCNGCGGGNGCGCGCGGGAGAGAGAGAGAGAGAGGGGGGCGAACTCCCGGATCCTCCCCTNGCCGCCTACTCACTTCCCTCCGGAATACGCTTCCCGTCCAGCCGCGGGGACACCACGCAATGGAAGAGGGATGCGATGTATGGTGCGATTCTCTTGCCGACTTGATTTCCGTTCGTTTGTCAGTGTGGGAAGCTTCGGGTGTAGAGGGGTTCTTCCATTTCCTAAGAATTCTTGCAGGCATTGTGCATTTTTTATTGGAATAAATCTCGAGCTATGCGCCGCGGTTATGTATAGTTTCCTTTATAGGAATAAATCTTGTGGATTTTTTTTGTTTAGCAGCTATCAACCTACCTGTTTTTCATGTCCTAGTTGGAGACTTGGAGTAGCATTTATGCGTTTTGTTTCCTTAGATATTATTAGTACTACGTTGATAACACATTAACAGATCGCATTTCAGATTTTGTAAGAATACGGGCAAGCATTAAAAGAACACAAAAGGCCGGAGGCTACAAAATTCAAAATGTGTGCTAGAATTATTTGTCCTTCAACTTTGGTACTTGTGAGTAATCATGTCTTTTTATGTTCAGATCTTTGACTGTCTCTTGCCATTGAAGTGATCAAATGGCACGGAATTGATATCGTTGTCAAAATGAAAAGATTCGTCTATATCAATGATGATTCATGGCAGGATTCCTATTGTGACAATCGAATATCAAATACCAAATATAATCTCTGGAATTTTCTCCCTAAGAACTTATGGGAGCAATTCAGGTTTGGACTTGTTTCCTGTGCTGACCTATAAATACACTTTCTGATCTTGGCAAAATGGACACACTATAGTTTTGCTACCCTGCTGTAGGCTGTAGCCATTTTATTTCACAAACTGTATGCCTACCTGTGAGGCTGTCACATTTTGTCTCAATTTATTGCAAGTTACAGCTGTATCCTTTTCGGGCTAACCTGTTGTAACATCCGTTGGTTGGTGCCACGTGCTTATTGTTAGTAGATAAAGTGAAATCCAATGGAGTTTAAGATGTGCTTTTGTGAAGCCTATGCTGCTAGTTATGACTGTTCAGCCTGCATACTGCAATTGCTAAATTGTATGCCTGTGTTATTCAAGATGGAGTCAAACCAGGCTCTTCTGTGTTATACTGCATGCTATTTGTTTATCTGGAAATGGCCATAACAGCTTATGTGTCTTCAAATAAACAGTATGTCACTAGGTTTAATTCCATTAGATTTGCAAGAATCGTACTAACCATAATAGATCAAACCTCCTGGGCAATTCATTTACTGGAGTTCATCCCCTTTGTAGTTTGTACTATAGATCTCTGTTCTGCACCATGAGACCCAGCTGACTAGCACTTCTTTAGGATTTTGTCAAAATATCTGCAGGGCCTTAGTGCTTATGTTTTGTTTATTAACCGTGAATCCATTGGTATATCTATGCTAAACCACTTTTCTTCTTTATGCGTGTCATAGAGATATCGATTTTAATTATAACCCATTTCTTTGAATATTCAGGCGTTTCATGAATCAGTATTTTCTTCTAATCGCCTGCCTTCAGTTATGGTCAAGTATCACACCTGTTAGTCCTGCAACTACATGGGGTCCACTTGCCATCATCTTCATAGTTTCAGCTTCAAAAGAGGCTTGGGATGATTACAATAGGTACCTTTCAGACAAGAAAGCAAACGGAAGGGAAGTTTTGGTGGTAAAGGATGGCAACCATAGACAGGTTTTTGTTTTCTCTGTTATATTTTCTGTTTTTTAAAACCGTAGTGAAACTTTGTCTAAATCTATTGTAAGTTTACATCAATATTTGAATTCATTATGTTATTGCTGGAAAGTCATTTGTCAGCCATGTGTTTTCACTTGTCTAGGTGAGATCTGCTGCCTGAAGGCATTGTATTTGATATTAGTTGGTGTTATATGAAAAAGGAAATTCTATAATTCCTTATTTGCTTATGTTTTCAACACCGTACTCCAAAAACTGATAAGATGGAAACCCTACATGTTACTTGCTGTTCAGTTCGCATTAAAAATAACATGAAAGATAATGGAACTCGTGAATGGCATTGTTTAGTCTCGTTCTATTTGGAGGTTGTAGTAGCAAAACTTATCTGAGAGCTCAGTTTACTCAGCCTTTTTGCATGATCTGCTGCCATAATAACCATTCAGTGGCTAAACTGTATTGATCGTATTTAGGTAAATAAAGCCTTAATTCTTGTAACCATTTTAAATTTGCAAATTCATCTTTATTGACACTTGTATACCCATTGATACATTTTAAGTACCAATCAGTATCTGCAAATGTAAACTGTAATTAAACCTAGGAGTTGTTGATACTGAGAAACGCTAAACATGTATGCAATACGGAGTTTTAATGTGCATGATATTCTTCATTTGCCAGAAGTATTACATTTAGGAGCACTTGAATTTACACACTGAACATGTAATTGTCTAATAATCAGATATTTACATGCTTTTAGATCAAAGCACAAGATATCCATGTTGGAAATATAGTGTGGCTTTATCAGAATGATGAGATACCATGTGATCTTGTTCTTATAGGAACTTCTGATCCTCAGGGCATCTGTTATGTTGAGGTAAATGAAGTTATTCACAACTAGCAGTTAATAACTTGCATTCTTCCTATGTTTATTTCCTGGACCTATAGGGATTAATAATAGTAGCATGTGGGATGTCCATAACCATGTTGTTAGTGTATTCGCTTGAAATGCTTGTACATGGCAACACATCAGAATATTGTGGAATGTGTACTTTACATATATTGACCATACACCGGGGCATATCCTGTACAATAATAACAGGCAAAATGATCTTTGTGCTAAAAGCAGCTAGATCACAGACCTGAGATTTTATTTCTACATGCTCGCTGTTCAGTGGGTTAGATGGTGCAGTTGTGCAAATTTAGGGACTTAATACTGTGCCTTATCTCAGGAGAAATTAACCTTCACAATTCTTGCAGTAGTTGATTTGGCTGTAGTGATCAGTGCACATTTACCAGATTTCAATGGATTGGCGTATTTCTTATACAGCGTGGCTTTATAGTGGTTTCTTAGAAGCACTTCTATTCTTCTATATATGAATGCGTTAATTAACCGATGGCATTCCTTATATTTTATTAGTATCTAACTATATTTTCGCAGCAATCAATACCAAATTGTTCTCAGTTTGTCAAACCCAGAGCATATGATATATGCAAAATCTCTTGCGGTGTCACTCCTTAGTAGATGAGAAACTTGACATGATGAACTTCCTTGCATTTATTTTTATCCTTGATCATATCTCTTTGGCTTAGGTGGTGGATTTATGTTGGTTTACGTGAACAGTGTGTTTTTTCAGATCCTTAGTTTTACCTAATGCTATCAGAAATATATAATTTTCTTTGGCTGCCGTAAATCAAGCTAATTCCAAATTATTGTTCCAATATTTTACTCCAGACAGCTGCTTTAGATGGTGAAACTGACTTGAAAACAAGAATTGTTCCTTCTATCTGTGCTAACCTTTCTCCAGATCAATTAGGCAGAGTCAAGGTGAATCTTTCTTCTACTTTCAATTCGTTTTGTTCTCTTGCACCTTTCTGATTGTACCCCTCTGAATTGGCAGGGTGTAGTTGAGTGCTCCAACCCAGATAATGACATAAGAAGATTTGACGCTAACATGCGCTTGTTTCCTCCTATCATTGATAGTGAAAAATGTCCTTTAACTATCAATAATACTCTTCTTCAATCATGTTACTTAAGGTACACAGAATGGGCGTGTGGAGTTGCAGTTTACACAGGTATACCTAGAACTTGAAGATACTATGCTTTTGTCTAGATCATTGATGATTTGCTTGCTCTAAAATGTATCTTTTAGTATTTGTGTACAGAAGACACCATGTAACGCATGGTTTACCTCCTAAATCATTTTCTAGGCAATCAAACAAAATCTGGAATGAGCAGGGGAACCGCAGAGCCCAAGCTCACTGCTGCTGATGCAATGATAGACAAACTCACTGTTGCAATATTTATGTTCCAAATTGTTGTTGTTCTTGTTCTGGGTTTTGCTGGCAATATCTGGAAGAAGAACCAGGGTCTTAAGGTGATATTTCTTCCTGAATTCTGATAACCATTGTCCTGTATTAGAAAAATCACTGTTACTTTCATTCATATTATGTTGTTGTGTTGTAGGCTTGTAGCTTCTTGAAGGCTCTTCTGTTATATTTTATAATTTTGAACTGTTATGGATTGCATGTAATGTTATGTTATTCCTGTTCTTGATCTGGTTATTTTCTTCCTTTGCATAGCAATGGTATCTGCTGTATCCTGTGGAAGGACCATGGTATGATTTCTTGATTATACCATTGCGCTTTGAGCTATTGTGTTCAATAATGATTCCTATTTCAGTGAAGGTATGCCTAATTTGAGTTATTGGTTTCACATGTGGTACTTGTTTTGAAGTATGCCATGCCGCGTACAATATGATGTTGCAGAAGTGATTTCTCCCCCAGTCCCCCCCCCCACATACATTAAAGGAAATATAAGAAGAATTTATTAATAATGTTTCGCCATGTGCATGATAGTGTAAAGAAAATAATATTTCCCTAGATATTTTTTTTACAAGTTCCTGTTTGTAACATGTGATTGAACATATATAATTGATGGCCAATTCAACTCCAGTACCTTGTTGACTTCTTTGGCAGCGGGGACCTCCTCTAGATAGCCACCTGTTGAGCCCTGTACTTGCCTGCAAGCCTTGTTTGAAAAACCTCAGATGCTCACAGCCTGGAGAAATCAGTAAACTATTGAGATAGCATGATATCGTGCTAATTATACACTGATGTAGATGTTCGCTATACAATGGTCACTGGGAAGTGATTGTTGTCGATTATTTGTTAAAGGGACTTGACAAGGGTATTCTTCACCCCCCCCCCCCAATGCATCATATGGATGAAGCGTGCCAGAACGTCTACACTGAACAAACACATACAATCCAAATTTTTTTCCCGTTGTTGGATACTTGGTTTGATTCTAGACAATCCATTTATCCATGTACAAGAAGTTAGACCAGGCAGTGAAAACAAGCTATTTTTAGTGTTCGGTTATGTTCTTGACAGTATTTCCTGCAATCCTTGTAATTTTCAAAATGTTTTTTTTTATGCACTGGTTGTAGGTAACTCTTGATCTGTCTAAAGGTGTATATGCAAAGTTCATTGACTGGGATGAACAAATGTTTGATCGGGAAACATGTACGCCTGCTCATTCAGCTAAGTATGTGGCATGTTATTTCCATATGTGTGAATTTAGATTTTTCATCCAACCTAGCTATTTATTTTTTAGTACAGCTTACATAAGTGTCTCTTTCAGCACAGCTATTAGTGAAGACCTTGGACAGGTTGAGTACGTTTTGAGTGACAAAACTGGAACGCTGACAGAAAACAGAATGATTTTCAGAAGATGTTGCATAAGTGATATTCTGTATGGAGAAAACAATGAAGATGCTTTAAAAGGTTATCCACTTGTGTTCTAGCTAGCAGCAGAAATTCTCTTTTCTCTGGGCTTAGGCCCTGTTTGATTCAGCTTAGGATTATTATAGTCTGGATTATTAGGAGTAAGCTGAAACAAACAGATAGCTTATTATGATAGATTATTATAATCTATAAGCCAGATTACTATAATTTGGTAAGCCACTCTAAAAGTGCTTTCTTTAGATTATTGGGTGGCTAACAGCTAACAAACAAATAATAATCCAGAGAAACAAACAGCTAGCAGCTTATTCTGTATTGGCTTATTATAATTCAGCTTATAGTAATCTAGTTCTATAATCTAGATTACAATAATCTTAAGATGAAACAAACAGGGCTTTAGTGTGATACAATGTTATTTGTTCATGAACTGTCTGACTTTCTTCAGTGGCATGTCAAATGTTGATTCACAAGTGTTGGGTTAAATAGGAATTTGCAAACAGCAACAATAGATGCTCCCCATTTGTAAGTCCTTACAATACATTGTAAACTCAATCAACCTTCTGTTTCTGGCTCAGCATATGTGAAGGTGTCAGGGATAATAAAGGGGGTGTTTGGTTCATTCCCTCACTTTGCCACACACACTTTAGTCATGCCACAGCTTCTTAGGTGTGTATTTGTTCTGTTCCCACAGTTGTGTCATGCCACACTTAGCCTTAGGTCCCACTTGTCATACTCAGTTTAGAGCTAACTGTACCACACTTGTGGCCAACTATTTTCTAGCCACACTTTTGCTTCATGCCACAATTTTCCTAAGCTTGTGGCATCCTTAGGCATCATCCAAACATCCGCTTAGGTGCCTGGGTTAACACTCATTTTTTGGAGATTTTACCTTCTATAAATGTGCCTGGGTATTAACTCGTGCTTTTTAAGTAGGTGAATTGTTCATGCATTACATCTAACACACTAATCTTTGTTTCAGCCTTTCAGATTATACTGCATGATACCTTTTTCTAGGTTGTAGGAACTACACAGAATTTTTTCATGGATTTGTTCAATTATATTATCAATATTGATATATCATTTATTGGTCAATATTTTGTTTTGCTCTCTGACTAATGGTTTTTCCTCTCTAATTAGATGCCAGACTTCTAGATGCTGTTTCGCGTAACGATCCTGATATTGTCAAATTTCTCATGGTGATGGCTCTTTGCAATACAGTTGTTCCTATCAAAAGGTAAGTGGCATCTTCTTCATGTTACAGTACTGAACTTTGAAAATACCTGCTGTTTAGTTGTTCCTTATAACTTTCCTAATTTCAGCAATGATGGTACTATAACATACCAAGCACAATCACAAGACGAGGAAGCTTTGGTCACTGCTGCATCAAAACTAAATATGGTGCTTGTGAGTAAAGACAGCAACACTGCTGGTTGGTATATTTTTGTTAGATTAAGATGATATGACAATGAATTGCTCTAACTAGGTTGCTTTTTCTTATCTCAGACTGATTTTTGCTTTCATTTCACTATTTTCTATTTCTACAGAGATTTCTTTCAACGGTTCTAAGTTCTATTATGATTTGTTGGATATTTTGGAGTTTACTTCCGATCGCAAAAGAATGTCTGCTGTGGTAAAGGATGTCCAGAGTGGGAAGATCCTTCTTCTTTCTAAAGGAGCTGATGAAGCTATTCTTCCTCGTTGCCATCAAGGTACATGGTATAACAGGGAAAACTGCATCGTGTTTATGTGATATCATGCATGTACACCCCTCCAGAGTAATTAATCCATTTCGCTTGAATATAAATACATTCTTAGGTGTCATTTTCTGAATTTAATTATCTCGAGGCAAGAGTAATTATGCTTGTTCTAACTCGAAACCTGTCTTCTGGTAGATAAAGATCCCTCCAGAATTTTAAATGGAACAGCTTCCTTGTTCTGATACTGATGGAACTAATTAATTAAACAGAATATCGCTCTTAGGAAATATATATATATATGAGTAATGTCTTAGTTCTATTCATACTATAAAAAATTATAGTCCATATAATCCTGTGATGTAAGGCAGTAATGCATCTTTATGTGGATCAACTTATCTATTACAAACATGGGATATACCTATTGCATACCTTGACTAGGGAAAATATTACCAACCTTTTAAATTTGGGCATCAAACTAAATTGGAAAATTCCCAAACTTTTTGGAGGCAGTCATTTATGTAATGTACCATCAGATTTCAAGTCTAAACATGATCAGTACTAATGGACACTAAAGGTAAGATGTGCTGCTAATTTAGTTAGCGTTTTTCTCCATATGTCACAGGACAGCAAATTAGAACCTATCTTGAGACAGTAGAAATGTATTCTCAGTTGGGCTTGCGAACATTATGTTTGGGATGGCGTGAATTAGAAGAAGATGAATACAAAGATTGGTCCAAAACATTTCAAGATGCTAGCTGCTCCTTGGAGAACAGGGAGGTAAGTTGTTGAGCCTGACCTTGGCTATTATTTATTGTTTAACTATTTTCTGTATCTTTTGTTGTTCACACTGTTATCTCACCAACTTTAACTACTGTATTCTTAGCTAAATATTGCAATGCTTCATCATATGTAGCGTAAAATTGCCGAAGTATGTCACCGTTTAGAGCAAGATCTTCAAATTCTTGGTGTTAGTGCCATAGAAGACCGTCTCCAGGTATTCACGACCTTCCATTTTTCTTAGAATAAGTAGAATTACTTGTTGCAATTGTTATCATTGCATTCTTGCACCTCTAATAGAGTCTTGTGGCTAGCAGGATGGTGTGCCGGAAACCATTAAATTGCTAAAGAGTGCCGGAATCAATGTGTGGATGCTAACTGGTGATAAGCAACACACAGCAATTCAGATTGGACTTCTTTGTAATCTCATAGCACCTGGTACTGCATTGTCACTAGAAATTTGATATGCATTAAAATTGAGCATGCTGTATAGGCTACTACTCCATTAAAATGCATTATCCTGTAAAACGACAACTGTTTCCCGACTTTGCTTGCATCATTTGTTTTTAATGGCACTTTTTTTGTTTGGGTTGTTATTTATTAGTTCTTGTACTCACCTGTTCAAGAATTAGAGCTTCATCTAGGTGGATATTTAATCCCTTAGTCCATTATCTTCTTTTTTTTTAGTATAAAATGATTTCATTTCTACTGTATGGTGCTCAAGTGCTGGTCTCTTGGGTTACAGCTAGAAGAGACCAGGGTACCTGTTCTCTTGGATATGTCAAAATGATTAAGAAAAATGTTCATCTTATTTGTATTGTAAAATTGACAAGTCAGAAAGTGCTACTGTATTCAGTATTTTGTTATAAGCAGGACTCATCTAATAAGCATTTTTTTAAAACTAGAAAGATTGTCAGTTAGGCATTAGATCAAGATTTATCTTAGTGCCCATCGGCCTGCCTTCTCAGTGTGACAGAGAGCGTCGCGCTGTTTAGATTCAGGACCATTCCTTGTTATTTCATCTACTATAATCCAATCTATCCCCATTCATCCCGAATCTTGTCCACATAATCCTTGCCCGTGACAAAGATATTATATATTTTGCTATAAGCAGGACTCAATTCTTGTATCACTTTCAGAGCCGAATGGTCAATTGTTGTCTATCAATGGAAAAACTGAACACGATGTATTAAGAAGCTTAGAGAGGGCATTGTCAACAATGAAGTCTATGTCGGTAACAAAGGTATTGCACCTTAATCAAGTATTTATCAAGTTTTGATGCGTAGCAATGGGCTTCCATTGACTAGTTTTATTATATAACTTTAGCCTATCAGATGTTGAAATAATAAAATTGCTTGTCCTGGAATGTCTTTCTTTCATATTTATGCCTTCTGTTTGAACTATCTGATCATATTTCTCTCTCTCCTTATTTTTCATTTTTTTTATATTTGTATATTTTTCCTTTCTTCTTTCATGTATTCATGTACTTATTTTTCTTTTCAAATTATTTAATACTCCCTCTGTTTTTTTTTTTAAGATGTTTTCGAATAGTCAGACCTTGAAATCTTAACTCACTATATGTACAAAAGATATTAAGATTTGATATATGGAAATGCCATTAGTAGATCTTTCATGAAAAATAATTTTTACATGATTCACTCCTTGTTTAGGCTGAGTAGGATTATCTATTGTTAAATTTGTTTATGCAGGATTGTGCATTTGTTTTGGATGGATGGGCACTTGAAATAATTCTAAAGCATTCCAAGGAGTCCTTCACTAAGCTGGCCATGTTGTCAAGAACAGCGATATGCTGTCGAATGACACCCTTGCAGAAAGCACAGGTTTTGTTCTTTCTGTACTGTTATCTGCTTTCTTGTCACGTAAATGTTACTACTTCCGTCCCAAATTACTTGTCTTTCTAAGTTGTTTGGCATATTCTAAGGTTTGGAATAAATGACTACAATACCCTTATAAAATAATTTATGGTTGAGGATAGAAGGGTGGTTGAGGGGTAGAATAAGGAGAAATTTGAGTGTGATGTGATTGATGGGACAAGTAGTACTTGGGAGTGACAAGTATTGTTGGACAAAATTTGAATGTAGGAAGATAACTAATTTGGGACAGAGGAAGTACCCTAGATAATTGAATGTCAATCAGTGAACAATTAAGTCCTACTTGTGCTGGCCTAACATTATTCTGTATTCCTCATTTCTCATTATTTTTAGTAGAACGAAGGAATGAGTGGAAGCACATCATATGTTTACTTTGAATCTGCAAGAGGTTACATACTATACTATTGAAAGGCCTCGACTGAAAAAAAATGTCACAGATATTACTAGGTTCAGTTGTATATGCAACTTGAGATGTTTTATTGGAGGTAGGATTTGTGCTGTTGCTTTTGATGTACTCCACCTGGTTTATGATGTATCGCAGTTGACATTTATACATACTTTTGACCATTCGTCTTGTTGAAAAGTTTTGTGCAAATGTGCAAAAGTATAAGTTATGCTCAAAGTACCTTTAATGATAAAACAAATCACAGAAAAATAAATGATAATTACATATTTTTTTAATAAGATGAATGGTAAAACGTATGTCCACAAGTCAACGGTATCATACATTAAAAATCTGAGGGAGTAATTATTACAATTGTACCAAATCATGAATTCACAACTCATGCTTTTGATATATAGGAGTATCTTTTAGTGAATTAAAATAAATAACATCCTTCGCATTTGTGCAGCTTGTTGGGCTCCTGAAATCTGTCGGTTACCTAACTCTAGCAATTGGTGATGGTGGTAATGATGTAAGAATGATTCAAGAGGCAAACATTGGAGTTGGGATTAGTGGTAGGGAAGGGCTACAAGCTGCAAGGGCTGCTGATTATAGCATTGGAAGTAAGATTTTTTTTCGTTAATTTTGCAAGTTCCTATTTTGTAGCCAATGTTTAATTTGCATATTGTGCTGTGTTAGCCTTATTGATCTGAAATGCATATTTCATAAATCTTGCATGAGCTTATTTTTTTAAAATAGATGCAACAAATAATTTATTTATTTTTAGAATAACTGCAGTTCATTGTAATGGTTTGTACTTTTGATAACTGATTCATGTGTAGCCAGAGATTATAAAGCTGTTTTAGGCCTTGTTTGATAGCCCATAACCTACCCAGGATTTTTGCTCCCAAACAAGGACTTGGAGCTGTTTGTAGTGCAGGAATTTAATTGGAAATAGTTCAATTCCTGCAGGAGCATAAAAATTTTCTGTGTTCCAGACAGGGCCTAAGTGTGGCGCATTTTATATAGGCCCTAGTTTTCACCAGTTGTTTGCAGGAATCATTCAGAAATAAAAAAAATGAATTTAAATTATAAATGAATAAATGTTAAAACATTAGATCTGTGTTGGTTTGGAAAATATGGTGTTGGGATGGGGGGCTGACATTTCTTGAAATATACAGTAATAATCCAATCTTTTCAATGTTGGATCCATCGTATTCACTAGATTTCAAAGAAGTGCAGCTAGACAGTTCAGCTCATTCTTTATATTCTCAAAAAAAATAATCTTTGCTTCATCCATATGAACTACCAGATATCACTTTTTTCATTGGCATAGTTTTGTGTTCATAAATGTCTTTGCTTATGTTCTTTCTTTTTTTTGTATTTTCCCTCTGATCTTATTATCATGTTTCACGTGATATCCAGATTTTTTATATTTTCGATAACTCAAAACGTTGCACTATGGATGTGCTTTCTCATTGTTTTTCAGAATTCAAGTTTCTCAAAAGGTTGATACTTGTCCATGGTCGATATTCATACAATCGTACGGCATTTATTTCACAGTACTCCTTCTACAAGTCACTCTTGATATGCTTTATACAGATTCTGTGAGTCTCTTGATTCTAATCCTCTTTAGTTAGGAATATCTTTTGCTGTACTGAGCTTCTGCTACTGCTTTGCTTTTCCCACCGCCACCTGTCAATGCTGACCTAGCACTCTTTTAGTTTCTCCTTTATATCAGGACTCTCTGGAACTAGCTTGTTCAACTCAATTAGTCTGATGGCCTATAATGTTTTCTATACAAGTCTTCCTGTGACGACTATAATTTTTGACAAGGATATCTCTGAGGAAACAGTACTGCAATATCCCCAGATTTTACTCTATTCTCAGTCTGGAAGGTTAAATTGATTATTCCCTTTCCTTGCTTTTGATTAATGGATGACTTCTCAAAACATGCTATATAGTTGGTTTGCATTAGTATCTGATATAATTTGTTTCCATGTCTTTGACAGGCTTTTGAATCCAACTACATTTGCTGGATGGTTTGGACGATCGGTTTACCATGTAAGATTGTATTATTCTTTCATGTTTTATTTACATTGAAGTGTCTTATAGACTCGTGTTCTATTACTGCAATTTTTTGTGGACGATACAGACATCTTGTCAACAATTAGCTTACATTTCCTCGTCAGGTTAAGCTTCTAGGTGAATTGGTTAGTGCATGCAAATCAGTAGGCACGAACTTGCACTGATTGACATATACATGTACCTTATTATGCTGAAAAAATTTGTATGCGATATAAACAAATAGCAAATGTGTTACAATTTACAAGTGTTTCAGATTAAGCATTTTAACTGGTGCCAACGTGGTGATGGAATCTGCCATGTATGATGTTCCTAATTAATCAATACCGGCAAAATGGCAAAATCAAACCGAACCAAGTAATAAAAGTACTTTAAGTCTACTGTTCAGTTTGCTTCTAATTTCTAATTTCTAAACCCTCGAGGTGCATTTGAAATTTAATCTTACATAGGATTCTAATTTCTTGCAATTTCAGGCACTTGTTGTATTCTTAACTACAATCTGTGCATATTCTGATGAAAAAAGTGAGATTGAGGAACTCTCCATGGTTGCGCTATCTGGATGCATTTGGTTGCAGGCTTTTGTTGTGACACTGGACACAAAGTAAGTTCTCACTCGTGCACTTCATGAGGATTGGATTGTGAATCACTGAAATCATCTTTTGCTTCTTCAGCTCATTCACTTATCCGCAAATCATTCTCATATGGGGAAACTTTATCGCCTTCTACATGATCAACTTAATAGTCAGTGCGGTACCAACACTCCAAATGTATACTATAATGTTCCGCCTGTGTAGCCAACCTTCGTACTGGATAACCATGGGTGTAAGTCTACTCTTCTTTTACGATACAATCGTCGTAAATCATGATTTATTACTGCAGCCTAACCTTACGCTTCCTCAAACCATCTGGTGAAACCATCTTCTTGCAGCTGATTGTTGCGGTAGGAATGGGCCCGGTGCTGGCTTTGAGATACTTCAGGAACATGTTTCGACCTAATGCCATCAACATACTTCAGCAAATCGAGCAATCCAATGGACATACCCATACCACCAGAAATATGGAGTCACGGATCATATCTGCTGGCAGTTATCTCACCCATTTACTAGCCGATTCGCGTCGCAACAGGGGCGCTACCTATCAGCCTCTTCTTTCAGATTCTGTAGCATCTGACGGATGATCTGCTGCACCTATCAGCATCAGACCTTGGCAGCTTGCGTTAACTGTATCTCTTACCAGTGCAATATGCTAGCATGCACACCCATAGTCTCTAACAGCAATAGGATTTACTGATCACACAAAATTCTGAGAGTCAAAGCACAGAAGAAAGTTTCGCAGGTTCATTGCAAAAATGCTGCAATGCCTGGAATTCAGGAAAAAAAATACATGTGTTCCAAATTATCCCAGATGTATAGTTTTGCTGTTAAAACAGAAGTATATATGGCTGTTTTGGTTTGATGGCAATTATTGCCCTACCAATTATTTGGTACTTCGTTCGTCCCAAAATATAAAGCTTCTAGTATTCAGAATTTGTCCTAAAATATAACAACTTCTCCATTTACATTCTCTTATTAACCAATAACAATCTCGCACCATTTAACTTCACCTAGTTTCTTCCTCAACCAATTATAACATTATCCTATTTAATTCCATCTACTTTCTTAATACCCGTGTTCAAGTTTAAACTTCTTACACCAAAACTATACACCAAATGGTTACTAGATAACCATTTGGATCGGATCTAAGTTCGCCAATTCTACAGGGTTGGGGCAAATCAACCCAAGAAAACAGCTACTGTGTCGAAGCATGTCCAAAATTTGGTGCTACTAACCTTATTCCTTGCATTGCATACCACATTGTCAAAAAAAAAAAAAAACAGAGAGAAACCAACATCATCTGTTATCCAAATTGTCCAAATTCATGTGTTCCAAATTGTCCCAGTTGTTTTTTAAGCGTACTCTATTAATACAACATCAGAATTGTAAAAAAAAAAAAGGAACTAAAAGCCAGCCAAACGAACCAATCCGAGGCGTCTTCGCGGCATATGCTCTCCAAGGCGAGGCATTTCGCCCGGTGGAAACCAATACCGCCGCCGCCCACCCACGCAAGAAGGCTATCGCCGCGGCCACCGCGCCGGCCCTCGTCGGCCGCGACTGAGCCCGAGGCCGAGGCCGACCAGGATGCAGGCGCCACCACCGCCGCCGCCGCCGCTTCGGCCGAGCAGATCGGCTCGGCCGCACGCGGGGTGTTCGACGGAATGCGGCGCCGGGCCGCGCTGTCCTGGAACGCCACGGTAGCGGCCCACGCGAGGCGCGGGCGCGTCCGCGACGCGCTCGGGACGGCCGCGCGGATGCACCGCTCCGCGGCGGGGCTCGACGAGGCCACCTACGCGTCGGCGCTCGGCGCCTGCGCCCGCGGGCGCTGCCTCCGCATGGGGTGGCAGGTGCACTGCCAGGTGGTGAAGTCCGGGTCCGACGACTTCCCGGTCGTCGGGGCATCTCTTCTCGACTTCTACTCCTCGTGCCTTGATCTCGATGCGGCACGGACGCTCTTCGACACCCTTCATGCCAACAACGAGCTGCTGTGGAGCCCCATGGTCGTCGCGCTTGTCAGGTTCAACTTGCTGAGTGACGCCCTGGATTTGCTTCAGCGGATGCCACCATCTCGTGATTTGTTTGCGTGGACCGCCATCATCTCGGGCTACGCGCGGGGCGCTAACGAGTACTGTTGCAAGTCACTGGAGCTGTTTGTGCAGCTGCTGGCTGAGGATGGTGTCATGCCCAATGAGTTCACTTATGACAGTGTTTTGAGGGCTTGTGTGAAGATGGGAGCATTGGAATTTGGGCGATCGATTCACGGATGCTTGATCCAAAGTGGGTTTGAGTCGGAGCAGTTAATCACGAGCGCTCTTGTCGATCTTTACTGTAGGTCTGGTGCTGTGGATGATGCTGTGATGGTTTACAATGGCTTGCAAATGCCATCCCTGATAACATCCAATACACTCATTGCAGGGTTTATATCAATGGGCAGGACAGAGGATGCTAAGTTGGTTTTTTCGCAGATGACAGAGCATGATTCAGGTTCCTATAATCTGATGATAAAAGCGTACGCTGATGAGGGAAGGCTTGAAGACTGTCGGCGGATGTTTGAGATGATGCCTCGGAGAAATATGGTTACCTTGAACTCCATGATGTCAGTGCTTCTCCAGAATGGGAAATTGGAGGAGGGGCGGAAGTTGTTCGAACAGATAAAGGATGAAAGGAACACGGTAACATGGAACTCTATGATTTCAGGTTATGTTCAAAATGATCAGTCTTCAGAAGCTCTAAAACTGTTTGCGGTCATGTGCCGATTGTCTATTGAATGCAGTGCTTCAACGTTTCCTGCTCTACTGCATGCATGTGCCACAATTGGTACCATCGAGCAAGGCAAAATGGTTCATGCTCTCCTATGCAAGACTCCATTTGAGTCCAATGGCTATGTTGGGACAGCTCTAGTTGATATGTATTCAAAATGCGGCTGTGTGAGCGATGCACGGGCTGCATTTAGTTGCATTATGTCACCCAATGTTGCTTCTTGGACATCACTCATCAATGGGCTTGCACAAAACGGCCATTGGATGGAAGCTATAGTACAATTTGCAAGGATGCTGAAGAACAATGTTAAACCCAATGAGATCACCTTTTTGGGCATCCTGATGGCTAGTGCTCGCGCTGGTTTGGTTAACAAGGGGATGAGATTTTTCCACTCTATGGAAAGCTATGGAGTAGTTCCAACTGTGGAGCATTATACGTGTGCAGTTGATCTTCTTGGTCGAGCTAGACGTGTAAGGGAAGCGGAGAAGTTCATCTCCAAAATGCCTATACCAGCAGATGGTGTGGTGTGGGGAGCCCTTCTTACTGCCTGTTGGTACACAATGGACTTGGAGATGGGTGAGAAAGTTGCTGAAAAGCTGTTCTACATGGGCACGAAGCACATATCTGCCTATGTCGCTATGTCAAACATCTATGCTAAGCTGGGGAAATGGGAAGATGTTGTGAAGGTAAGAACAAGGTTGAGGAGTATCAATGCAAAAAAGGAGCCAGGGTGTAGTTGGATTGAGGTGAAGGATATGGTTCATGTATTCCTTGTGGAAGATAGGAATCATCCAGAGAGAGAAGAGATCTATCTAATGCTAGAAGATTTAGTTTCTAATATATCTTACTCTGAAACTGATGATGAAACACATGGTTATTATCTCGAGCCTGCATCATTAGACCTCCTTACTTCCCAGAAAAGGCTAGCTAACCAATAGTCAATAGGCAAGTTGAATGGAATTAACATTTATGTACATATTTCATTTTGCAAGGTATTCTGTACAGATTGTAACATCTCTTTTGGCACAACAATTGTTAGCTCATTGAATGGGGCAATCTTGGAAGAAAGAACGTATTTTCGTTGTTTTTTTTTCATATTTTCGTTGTTTCGTTGTTTTTTTTTCATATTTAGACATATTTCACCCTAAACGGTTCACTTGAAACGTTTATGTGCCAGAATCCACAGTCATCTCAATCGTTTTTAATGTCTTGGGATAGAAATGATTCATCTTTTTAGTGGTTTGTGCACAAAGAACAAAATGAAATTGTTTTCACACCTAATAGGTGTAGAAGAATATCCATATATGGTATATGATGGTGCAAACATGTGTCGTTGAATTATTTTGTAGCTTTTTTCTTCAATTCGGACGATATGCAAAAAGACAAGTGTTGTCCAGACTTGAATTTATATTTGTTTTCGGATTCTACCGATATAGTTTAGCTATGCATATTTATAGAATGATCTAATATATATTGATATTTTTTTATCATACTTCTTTGCTATTTAGATGTGTTAACGACCAAATTTGGTAAATTATGCATTGGATTTGGGGTTAAGGCTGAAGCAGATTTGGAAGGAAATCAATAACAGAGACAGAGCAAAAATCGGCTTCGGGACTGCATCGGCTACGGTGTGCATCGGCAGATACCGAATCGGACAAGGTAAGCCGATGTAGCTGATTCCGGCAAGTTGAGATCGGAATCATTGTTGGATTGAGTTGATGTGCTTCATGAGGATTGCCACGTGCGGATTGAGTTCGAAGAAGGCAATTGTATCTATTAATTAGGAATAGTTTGTTAGTTTTCTTTTATCTTTAGGAAAGTGTGTTTAGAGTCCAATAAGGACTTTATATTTCTGTTTTATCTTTAGGAAGGTTTGTTTCTTGTCCGACAAAGACTAGTATCTACCCACGGGTATAAATATGTACATCCGGGGTCTATGTAAAATATCACATAGATCAATACAACTATTCTCGACGCATCGCCACCCTCTTTACCGAGGTTTTTACTTGTCATCCGATGCAACTTGGCACCTGACGCGGGGCTGCATTGGCTTTCGATCTTAGACGAAGGGGTAAGTCCTACGTTCCGCCGGCCCTGGTGAATCTATCGGCTACGTTGGTGTTGTTCAAGGCTGCATCGCTTCGATCTCTTGGATCGCTCTGGTTTGGTTGATATATTTGCCTACCTGATATCTCAATTCTATCTCTAGTTGCATTGTGTTTAGAGACGCATCGGTTTAGTCGGAACTGTCTCGGTTAGGTCTGATCTTCTGTTTTAGCCGATATATCTCTACAATTATAATGCTGTTGTAAATAGATTTGTTATATTCATCACATTAGACATATCTATCGGCTCATCGAGTATTAGATTATCATATACAATCTCGTGCTACATCGGTTAGGTTCGACCTACTAGATTGTTGTTGATAATATAAATCTTGTTAAGCCGATAGGTTCATGCTAATGTTTTATCGGGGTGCTAGCCGATAAGTTATCTGGACGTTGCATCGGCTCATAAGGATTGCATATACATATAAGTTGGATTTAGCCGATGAGAACAATGGTTTCACTATTGAATCTAATCTTGTGGATTTTCTGACATCGGACCCCCAGCCGATGTATGCTTTAACCTTTGGATCGATGCTTATTTATCATATCATTATTAGCCGATTGGTTTCTACTGGACTATATTATTGTTATTTATCATCATCAGCCGATCACCTTTATATCATTATCTACATTGGACATATAGCCGATTGCTCGAATCCCTATCGCTATCGGCTGGTATCGGCATCGGCTGGAATTACTCTATCGGCTTGTCAGCCGATCGGCTCATTGATCTTAGATTTGTATATCTTGTCAGTTGCAGGGTCAAACTGACTGGCACACCCGTATCTCATCAACCTTTGGACATGCACTGTAGCTAAGCAGATCTCCCAGGCCAGTGTATGTTTTTCGCATCAACGGGATGACACATAGATTTTTTTTTTAAAAAAGAAAACATTGTAGGGGAATCCCCCACAGTAAATGAATTTATATAAAGATCAAAAGAATAAATTTACAATAGGCTTAACCAATCCGAAAGAAAATTCCTATCTCCTAGAGGTAATCTATAAATAAGGATATAAAGGTCCTTCTTAAAGAAACCCCTCCAAGAAGAAACAGATGGAATCACACCATCAAAGATAAGCCCATTTCTCTGATTCCAAATATTTCAAACCACATAGAGAATTTTTTCAACAAAGTGCCAAGACCGATAAGTTTGTTTTGCTTAAAGCAACATTTGCTCAAAAGCAAGAGATACATCCCAGACTATTCCAAATTGAGCCCAACACTGAGAGCTGAAAGGACATTGGAAGAAACGATGCATGAAGGTTTCTCTAATTCCATAAGAACACAAAACACAAGTTAAATCACTGTTCACAGGTGCACAATGCTTTCTATCTAGCATATCTCGGGTATTTAATCTGTCAATTAGAAGCAGCCATCGAAAAACCTTAACTTTCATAGTGCATTTACTTTTCCAGATCCAATTCAGATAACCAGGAGCTTGAATATACATAAAATGGATTGCATATACTTTTCAAGAAGAGAAAGAAGAGTTTTCCCAAACATAACTCCGTAAGTCTCTATCATCTGAAAGTTGACACAAAGGATCATTAGCTGACATTACCAAATATTCCTGAAAAGCCTGTTCTGACGTTGGAAGCATGAAGAGTTGTGACAGCCCCTTAGTAGAACTCATAAAAACAGATTCCTTTGTATTTTTAGCGAAAGAGTAAGCTCTTGGATAAATGACTGATCTAATCTTGTTGTTCCACAGATCATCCCAGAATAAGCAGGATTTTCCATCACCCACTTTACATGAAGAAATCCCTCTAAAAATGTCTGCAAACTACATCACATCCCTCCACCAAAAAGAGCCTCTCTGGGAAACGTCATGAGGTACTTTATCAATATAGTAAGAAAACCAAACCAGCTTAACCCATGGAACAGGGTGCTTATTATAGAATTTATGCAGATTTTTCATTAACAAAGCATTGTTCTGAAGCCTGAGATCAATTACCCCTAACCTCCTCTTTTCTTTGGCTGACAAACCGTCTCTCAAAGTACCAAAGAATTTTTAGTAGAGTTTATATGAGAGCCTCTCCATAAGCAATGCCTTCTAGCTCCCATGAAATTCCATGTATGTACATAAAATTTTATGGGTTGACTGTGATATATTTCTTATATAGAAAAGTATAGGCATACGAATCTTAATTTGTTTGTTTAGTTATAAATAGAGCAATAGTTATATTAGAAATCAAATGTGTAGCATGTAGCTTAATCATTTCAAAATTATAATTATTAATTATTTCTCTTTTCGCTGGATAGCTAAATAATATGAATGGGGAGAGGAATGAAGAGCGCCAGTTCAAGCTAGTGGGAGGAGCAGACAGTGATACGCATGTGAGGGGACGGGGAGGGGGAGATGAAGAATCCTTATTTTCTTTGAGATATATGTATTGGGTTCATAGGTGGAGGCGAAAGTAGATGGAATTGTTTGCAAATGAATGTGGTGTTCAATAATTGTTAATACTATTTGGTGAGAAAAGGCATAATACGGTTTAAGTGTGATAAATTGTTAATTAAAATATTGTTAATATGTGATGTAATAATTTTTTCTTTTATTATAGATAAGATAGATGTGCTATGTTTTAAATAACCATATTGATCGTTTGTTTTTCTCGATGATAGGTGCCTATGTACGTACGTGCCCTCTTTTTTTTTATCTACTGTGTGTTTGCTTTTTTCTTTTTTGCATTTTCTTCTCCTGGGATATGTACGTACATAAGTTTTTCTTCCTTTTTTCTGGTGAATGTGTACATATTTAATTATACTAGCATAATACACGTGCGTTGCAACGGATTCTAAATAATATTCATTGACATAAATTAAAATCCAAAACCATATATTATAGTTGGGCATAAATGATGAAGGAAATATAAACGTATAAATAACAACATCAAACTACAAATAACTTTGTTGGGAATGATAATTCAATATTAGGAAAATTATATGACTTAATCCTATTTTCAAATTTAGCTATAAATAATTTAATATAGAGAAAACTATAAGTTACAATAATTTTTAGTGGATCAAATAGTGCTAAATCTAATAATGTAAATGAAAAAACAACTTAAATTAGTTAGAAATTGAAAAAAACTTCTTTTAGCCCACGTATGAAAATCTGATTCATTAATTCTGAACGGGTGCTTGTTTCATTGATATAAATTAGAATTTTTCATGTTCTATTCATACTCCATTTGTCTTAATATTATGTGAGTAGTCTAGGATCATGGTTGGATAGACTAAGAAAGAATAATGCCCAACATAAGCTGTTCATTGTTTTCCCTAGCTCAAGGCGAGAAACAAAAGAGGAGGGAAGATGGGTGTCGGTGCTCCGGCGACCAAACGATGGTAAGGAAAGTGGTAGGATGTATCCCACGATGTGACTCGTTCATAAACGGTGGAGGTTGGCAATGAAGAAACCAGAACAAGAGGGATGCAGGGGGGCAAAGAGGGAGAAACGACAACGACGAGCTCTAGTGGTGAACACAACTGGATGAGTGTGTCAAAACTAGTTCCCGGACGAGAGGATTCTGTTTTCCTTGAACACGCAGGAGAAACCAAGTAATATTATTTATCGTCTTCCCTAACCAACACAATAAACAAAAGAGAAGAGAAGAAGGGCAACGGTGCTCCAACGACCAAACGGCGGTGAGTATGGTGGTCGAGTGTGTTCCACAATATGACTCATCCAAAGATAGTGGTGGTTGGCAACGAAGAAAACCAGAACAATGGGCATGAGGTAGTCAACAACATGGTCCCGATAGAGAGAAACAACAACGGTGATCTCTTGTGGTGAACATGACTGAGTGAGTATGTCAAAACATGTTTCCAAACGAGGAGGTTCCGTTTTTCTTGAATGCGCAAGAGAGAGGGAATGAAGGGGATGTTGGTGATCCTTAAATGATAATATTTGACCGTCAATACCTGCAGATAATGAAATAAAATGTGGTATCCAACTAGTGGTAGGGATTATTACTAATCAATTCCACTAGTGTTGGTGAAATATGTGTATGCAGGTATTTTAAGGAGAAAACACACCCGGCATACAAGGAAACACACCTCTGGCCAATCAGACACAAGCACACGGATTGGAGGGCCCACAAGTCAGGTGAAACTGCCATGGAACAAGACATAACTGCCATAACCACCATCAGGGCCCACCAATCAGTGACCCCGCCAAAGGAGAGGCCAGGAGGTGGGGCCCACGGTTCGGCCGAACCACCACAAACTCCCCTCATCCTGGCCTTCCACGTGTACATTCCTGACGAAGTCCCAATGATGGTTGAGGGCATTTTGGACATTTCCCATAGCTATAACCGTTATATAGAGGCTATAAATAGAGCTCCTCTCCCTCACTTCAAGACACACAACTTTGAGCTGAATTACAAGAGGCTCTATTGTATCTTTTGTACATTAGAAATAGATGGAGAGTGAGGGGAAGCTCCGGGGGAGTACCCAAATACCCATGCATTGCAACGGATTACTGAGATAGTAAAATTAAGTCCTTGTTGAACAAATATATTTTTAATTGGTTGAAACAAGACCTTTCATCCTAAAAACAAACAATATGCCATGCCTAGAAAATTAAAGAGCTGTAGTCTACAAAGTACAAATTCACCCAAATCCTAATATCATTGCCCACATGTCAATGATGGTGGCGCTGGCAAACTCACCAACAGCACTACTATCTTTTAATAAGTGCTATAAATATGATTTCTAATTTATTGGATTTACTATCTCAATTTGCAAATAGTTGGCACGGAAACTATTCATCTTTCAATTTTGGACACCTATCAGTTTCGCATAATAAATTATAAATACTTAAAAAGTTGCCACATTATCAAAGTATGTTGCATCCTAGATATAAGAATCAAACTATCATTCATCATAAAGTAACCATTCAAAAAATATTGACGGTCCAAGAAAAATAATAAAAGTCAATAGTGCCAAATATGTGTAACATGAGGGAGGTAGTACTAGTTGTCTGTCCTAGCACTGCTCTACCACCGGCCTTCTTGAACCATGATCTTTAGAGCTAATAAAAAATGACTGACATTTGACACAACACATATAATCATAAATGTAATTAATAAAAAGAAGATATTTCAACAATGGCAAATTTCCACCAGCAGCTGCACTATGAATAGCTCTAGAATCACACGACATGTCTGTCACCTCAGTTTTTGATAGTAAGCCCTCTTATCCACTGAAACAGCAACCTTTGCAAAGTGACCACCAATAGAATCACTAATCCAATATACATACCTGTAAAAGAGGGAAGGCTGCACATGTAGGCATTATTAAGGAGCTCATTTACTAGGGATGGGTCTGCAAACAAAGGATAAAATTTAGTCTGCAAATATACCCGTTGTAATCTAAGTACTGAAGATAAGCAATTTCAGGTTTAATCAAACTTACAGCAGTTTCATAACCCATTATTTTAACCAACCATTTCAGCGTAAGAGAATTTTTCAAAAAAATTTGACATCTTCCTGAAATTGATAGACATTCCTCGTATCCCACATCTTACTATTTGTTGTGTTCCACTGAATTTAGAATGATAATAATAAGGCTAAAATGGTCTTTTCATTTGAAAATTTTCTCCTGATTCTCGTTTGGATTTGAGACTTCGTTCGAACAAAATTTTGAAACGTAACAAGCACCTTGTCGAGTTCCTTGGGATTCTCCCACTTGTGTCCCTCGGCGAGCACCTTCTTGAAAATGTCGCCGTACTTGCAGATGTCCTTGACACTAGCCTAGGAAAGCAGCTCGACGTCAAACCGCAGCATGGCGTTGGGCGGGATCGCCGGCGGCGGGCCGACCTCACCGAAGGCCAGCTCCGTTTTCGGAGGAATTGGCGGCTTGCTTGCCGACGACGGAGATGGCTTTTCTGCTGACATTGTTGTCACTTGCCGTTTCCCACTGGGCATGCCAAAAGCGTGTTGATGCGAAAAACACACACTGGCCTGGAAGATCTGCTTAACTTCAATGCAGGTCCAAAATCTTGCCTTTAGGTTCGTGAGCGTGCCAGTTGATTTGATCCTGCAATCAACAAGAAATAAAGACAAAAGAAACCTCGGGTAAATTCATAAACGATAGCTGATCGGCCAGTCGTCGATGACATATCATTTATCTTCAAGCCGATGTCATATGTGAATCGATCGGCAGCTATAAATAAGCAAGATAAGACTAAATCTACTCGATCGGCTGTAGATATTAACGCTATATAATCCTTCTGTCGATGTATATTTAAACCAAGTGATTGGGATAGATCAGACGCCATGCCGAGACAGTATAAATCACTTAGATTGAAATATATATTAACATAAAGATTATAAACACTTATAGCATAGCCGATCAGATATATCTAACATGTATCGGCTAGTACTCCGATACCACTCTGCGTTAAGATATTAAAACAGAAAATATATCAAACAGAAGCCTAATATACTTTATTACGATAAGATCTTAATATAAAGGGCAGATTTAGCATATCAATCAAACATATAAGACATGAAGCTAAATCAGGTAAGATCGGCTGAAACCCTGATACTAACTCTCTCGATGATCATAAAACAAGCCAGATATCATAATTATAAATACCACTTAATAGATCGAACTCAATCGATGTAGCATTAAGCATAAAGACAAGTATGAGATCTAAGCAAGATGATGAAAATCTATAAGAGATGGTAGATACATGATACAATCTAGATTAATAACAAA